TGATTAATTAAATATCGAATCGGGTAAAGTTTAGAGATGGGCCAGCCCACTTGGGCTTATATTAATAGGCTGTTAGGGTTTGTAAACTATAGAGATTTTCATTATTCTTGTTAGCACAAGAAAAGTAAACCCTAGCCGTCATTCTTGTTCTCTGTGTGGATCACCATTGGAGACTGGACAATTGGACAGCTTGGATTACAGATCGTGATCATTGGAGTTCGAGAATCAGCAAAGGAGTTTGCAGAATTCATCAAAGATATTATTCTCAACACATTTTCTATCTAAACACAAAGCAGATCCGTGGTGGGAATTGAAAAATTATTTATTTTCCGCTGTGCATGATTAAGTAAATTCCCAACAGTTATATTGTCACTACATTTTTTATTTGATACACTACATTTTAATTGCAGTTAAACTCATCAATTTTTGTTAATTGTAGCAATTATTTCCTTAACTTTTTTTGTCGAATTCTTATTTTCAATCTTCTATTAATTAGTACGTCTCGTCCTTGATGATAATTAATATCAAAATATTTTGTTTTTATACTTTAAAATGCTATAATGGGCAAATATTAAGAACGTAAGTATAATTTAAAGGTGCAAGAAATAAAAATTGTGGTGTAAATAAAATTAACATTACTATAATCGAAAATATAAGTTTTTATTACATTTTTCCTAATATATCCCAACATTAAATAAAGACTAAATAGGAGGAATTTGTATTTATTGATAACAATGCACATCAAAGAGGAGTATATTATAAAATTAAGAATTCAGCTGTAATCTCAATAAGAAAAATGACATATAATTTAAGACAAATATAAAAAGGAAAGCAAGTCTATTTTTATAGGACGAAAGTATTATAAAGTTCGATTAATACAATTGTAACACCCCCCAAATCTAGATACTTAGATTTCGAAGTATTATCATTTTATTTTCTCTTAAAATCATAAATGCGGAAAGACGATTTAATCTATATTTAATATGATAGATATTAATTACTTCATTTATGAAAATAATATGTACTTAATAAAATATACGACAATTAAACGAGTAATATTATTCATCCCCAGTAGAGATGAAAACATAGTTTATGTGCTTTTAAATGATAGGTTAAATGAAAGGTGAAATTAAATAACTTATTTAATTTCACATATCATTTAATGCCACATTGACGCCACGTAAATTGTGTTTTCATCCCCAGTGGGGATGAATAACATTACTCCAATTAAAATCATGTTGTATGAGACTTTATAAATAAACATTTTAATTTAGAGAATGTGTTTGGCTCTCCAAATTTGGAGAGTCGAACTCACTCTCNGGATTGCAGATCGTGATCATCGGAATTCGAGAATCGGCGAAAGAGTTTGCAGAATTCATCAAAAGTATTATTCTCAACACAGTTTCTATCTAAACACAAAGCAGATCCGTGGTGGGAATTGAAAAATTGTTTATTTTTCGCTGTGCATGATTAAGTAAATTCCCAACAGTTATATTGTCACTACATTTTTTATTTGATACACTACTTTTTAATTGCAGTTAAACTCATCAATTTTTTTAATTGTAGCAATTATTTCCTTAACTTTTTTTGTCGAATTCTTATTTTCAATCTTCTATTAATTAGTACGTCTCGTCCTTGATGATAATTAATATCAAAATATTTTGTTTTTATGCTTTAAAATGCTATAATGGGCAAATATTAAGAACGTAAGTATAATTTAAAGGTGTAAGAAATAAAAATTGTAGTGTAAATAAAATTAACCTTACTATAATCGAAAATATAAGTTTTTATTACATTTTTCCTAATATATCCCAACATTAAATAAAGACTAAATAGGAGGAATTTGTATTTATTGATAACAATGCACATGAAAGAGGAGTATATTATAAAATTAAGAATTCAGCTGTAATCTCAATAAGAAAAATGACATATAATTTAAGACAAATATAAAAAGGAAAGCAAGTCTATTTTTATGGGGCGAAAGTATTATAAAGTTTGATTAATACAATTGTAACACCCCCAAATCTAGATACTTAGATTTGGAAGTATTATCATTTTATTTTCTCTTAAAATCATAAATGCGGAAAGACGATTTAATCTATATTTAATATGATAGATATTAATTACTTCATTTCTGAAAATAATATGTACTTAATAAAATATACGACAATTAAACGAGTAATATTATTCATCCCCAATAGAGATGAAAACATAGTTTATGTGGTTTTAAATGATAGGTTAAATGAAATGTGAAATTAAATGACTTATTTAATTTCACATATCATTTAATGCCACATTGACGCCACGTAAATTGTGTTTTCATCCCCAGTGGGGATGAATAGGTAATGAGGTTAATTTTATGTACAAAAATTTATTTTCAAAATGAATTCACTTTGTAAATGTGATTGTACTGAGTCTATCGTACTACAGGTCGTCATCTCGTATCATCTTATCTTCATTATCTGAAAATGGGGAGAGATAACGTGAAATGAGCTAACGTCCAATAAGCAAACCGCATTCATATGATGCATGCTTATAATATGCATATAACTTACTTTAAAATAAAAAATCATTTCTCAATATGTATTTCCTTTCTTTCATTTTTTTTAAAAACATAACATTGACGTCGTGAGCTCACTTAGTGTAATGCCTAGCCAATGAAAATGTAGTGAGCGATTATTATTTGGAACTCGGTCGAGTCCTACCGGTAGTAGGCAAAGCGGTTAACATTAACATTATCATTGAACATTGGTCGGGTGCGCCAATTCCCCCACGCCCCATTTCCCACTCACAACTTTCATGGCATAGACAAACACCTCGTAATAAAAACATTTGGGATATATATCTTTTTAAAAACATTCATTCTAAATTGACATTTTAGAAAAAAACTTTTCATGTCTTGAAAATTTCATGCATGCTTATGGATGTAATGTCATGAGAAATATTCATGATATAAAACATAATCATCAACTATCATGTTCACATAATAATAATTTAAATAACACATTTATCAATCATTTAAAATTTCAACATTATTCATTCTTGATAATCAATCCTTATTCTATTTAGATAAAGTAGTTATTGACATTTGGGCCGAACAAGTAAAATAGAGAGTGCTCATAATCATATAGAAATTTAAAAGTGGAACTTATTGTCAAAATTACTCTTAACCGATAATAATTGCCTTCTAAACCGAGAGTAAGAGAAAATAGAAATTGGGTGCAAATAAACAATAAAATTACCTGCCAATGCAACTCATGATTTAAGAGAATGCTTTGATTTCAAATAAACAACCATTTGCCTATATCCTCATACGAATAAAAGTTTCGCTCATTTAACCATTTATTTGGGGAAATAAATTTACTGAATTTTAATAACTCGAAACTCAAGAATCCAATAACAAAACAAGTCATGCACTAACTTAAATTCAATTTATGCTTAAATGGATTTGTTTTAATAATTAATATATGCATATATACACTGTACCTAAGCGCGCTTTACAGAAAATGGAATGACCAATTACTTCAATGATTCAACCATACATTGCAAAGACATAAAGATAGTTTGATTATAAGATGATAACAAAATAGAATAAAAATCATAATACCTCATGTTGGAATATTCCAATATTAGATCATTCTTCTAGATCCTTCTCCTATTTGTTATTAGATGCTTATTCTAGATCCTTCTCTTGTTTGTTATGTAATTAGTTTGTTAAATTTTACTCTATAAATAGAGCTTTTGATGAATAATAAGTGTTCTTCATATCTTTTTCATCAAGTTCCTTCAATATAGTTTCTATATTGAATCTATCCTTTTATTTTCTTAATATGATATCAGAGCAATGGCTTCCGTTCCATGCTGGATAATATTTTTTTTCTTGAGGCACTTCTTTCTGCATTCTGATCTGCACTTCCTTCAAGAATCGCCAAAGCAGTTTCAATCTTATTTTCCTCATCACCGTTATTTGCACATGCATCCAGACCTCTACCAGACTTTGGAGACTCTTCTGCAACAGTATCCTCTTCCTCAGAGCCAAATATAACAAGAAAACTCTCCCTTAAGCTCCGTTCACCATCTGTACTTTTCTATTCACACTTCCTGGGTCAGCAACAAATTACTTTCTTTAGAGAGGTCCTTGCAATATGTGACCATCCTGCATGCTGGACAGAGCTCAAACACGGGGTTATTTTAGTGCTGATGCTGTAGAGCGAGCATTTCAGATCCTCAATCAAATTCCTGAAAGGGCAACTGGTGCATATAGTCATACTCAGGGTATCAAAGGCTTACGTGATACAATTGCTTCTGCTATAGAAGCTCGCAATGGATATCCAGCTAATCCAAATGATATTTTCTTGATAGATGGTGCAAGCCCAGCTGTTCATATTTTTATGCAATTACTTATAAGGTCAGAGAAGGATGGTATTCTCTGTCCCATTCCTCAGTACCCTTTTTATTCTGGTTCAATTGCCTGCACGGTGGCTCCCTTGTTCCTTATTATCTTGACGAAGAAACAGGATGGGGATTGGAGATATCTGAGCTTAAGAATCAGTTGGAAACTGCAAAGTCCAAGAGTATTACTGTCAGGGCTGTGGTTGCAATAAATCCTGGCAATCCCACAGGACAGGTTCTGGCTGAGAGCAACCAACGAGAAATTGTGGATTTTTGCAAAAATGAAGGGCTTGTTCTTTTAGCAGATGAGGTGTACCACGAAAATGTTTGTGTGCCTGACGAGAAGTTCCATTCATTTAAGAAAGTCTCACAGAGCACGAAGTATGGAGAGGAAGACATACCCTTAGTTTCTCTCCAGTCTATATCTAAAGGGTATTATGGAGAGTGCGGAAGGAGAGGGGGTTACATGGAAGTTACTGGTTTTAGTTCTGAGATAAGGGAAAATGTGTTGGAAATGTTGCTGACATGCTTGTTATCAATTAAAAAAAAAAAAATTAGAGAGCATAGAGGGATACGTTTCCTTGCTGGAGTTTGTTTAGCATTTCCAGTTTTCTTTTAGTCATCAATGTTGATGGTGTTTATCTTCAAAAATGCTCGGTTTTAGAGTCATGGATGCTCACTTATTCCGGTTGATTTATGTTGCTGATTTTCTCTGGATTGCTTCTCCGCTGGATGTTATTGTCCACCACGGCTTCTCTTGCATCTATGTTCTTCTATCAACAATTCAACATGTTCCATCTTGGAGGGGGGGTTGTAATATTCCAATATTAGATCATTCTTNGAATGCTTTGATTTCAAATAAACAACCATTTGCCTATATCCTCATACGAATAAAAGTTTCGCTCATTTAACCATTTATTTGGGGAAATAAATTTACTGAATTTTAATAACTCGAAACTCAAGAATCCAATAACAAAACAAGTCATGCACTAACTTAAATTCAATTTATGCTTAAATGGATTTGTTTTAATAATTAATATATGCATATATACACTGTACCTAAGCGCGCTTTACAGAAAATGGAATGACCAATTACTTCAATGATTCAACCATACATTGCAAAGACATAAAGATAGTTTGATTATAAGATGATAACAAAATAGAATAAAAATCATAATACCTCATGTTGGAATATTCCAATATTAGATCATTCTTCTAGATCCTTCT